GCCTGAACACCCTAAGGGTGTTAGCCCTGGGAACAAACTGATTTACACCCTTAAAGGGTAACTGCAAAGAAAAAAGTGTATTTTTAAACAGCCTAATTGGGACAAGCATGTCACAAAACAAATTTTCTGCCAAAAACAAAATTTTTTACAGCAATATTTATTGCGCGAGACTCATTTTCGTTTGCGGCTATTTCGTCCGTTTTAAAAAGCGCGCCACAAAGTTGGTATTATACCAACTTTGTGGCGCTCTCAAAATGTAATTTAATTACAATTACAATTACTTAGCTCCAAAAGTAGTTTAACTACAATTACAATTACTACTACGCAAAAGTAGTTCATTGCAATTACAAATTACTTTTTAAAAGTAATGCAATTACTTTACAATTACTTATTTATGAGAGTTACCCCCAACATTGGGCCATACAACTGTAAACGAGTTATATGGCCGCTGTATAAATGTCACGCATTGTACTTTCCTTTTATGAAATTTGTTAAATGGATTATAGAACTTAATAGTTTGGAGTAATGAACTCCTGCGTTCATATATTCTCAAAACATAAAAAATGGCGACAAAATTCACGGGTGCGAGGTGAATCTCCTTAGAGCTTATGCAAATGGTATCCAAGTCAAACCAAGAAAAAATAAACTTAAAAATAATACAAGGAAACAAATATGCGACAGTACTGGTATCATAAAACTCACGTAAAAAATGGCTAATAAGAGAAACTTGTAAACAACGTCAAACATTTAAAGGATACGACAACTTACGAAAACATTTCAGCCACGATGATTCGCTGCCTCTCCCTGTCTGTGGACTTGTAACATGCCGGATGTAGGTAACCGTAGCACACGAGCTGTGGTCGCTTCCACAAAACTAGTGTCACAATAGCAGCAACTCTATTGCCAGGGATTCTGGGTTAATTCAGTGCACGGTAACACCCAAAAAGCTCCTGAGATAAATAATAAATTTAGGATCGTCATGTAGCTAATCATTAGGATAGTAATGATTGTATCGATGTTATGCGTCTCATAAAGAAGACCGATTTGAATTTAGCATGGCAAGAACAACCTCGAAAAATTCATGATACACTGCAAACGACTTTATTTTCGTGAATTTCGCGAATCGCCTACAATTCGCGAAAAAAAATGTAAACACATTGGAATCTATATCGCGACCGCACCGCGTCGCGAAAATTAGAATCCGCGAATTATTCCAAAACTGCGGCCTCTTGGACGCCTCGATTTCACGATTTACTTGAGCGCGTTTCAGCTGGAAGATATAGACGAGCTATTATTATTATTTTTTTTATAACTGTAAGTATTATTCAAAGTAACAAGAAAGTTGCCTACCTGCAAGCGTTTCCGCAAATTGGAGGTCGCCTTTCGGTTTATTGAATTTGTTTTCAGAAACGGTCCGGAGAGTTTGCTCCTCACGATTATAGTTTTTTACATTGGTGCTAATCTGTTTAGAGAATTTTTCGCAACAAGGCCCCGGCAGCCTTCCCTTTTCCATTGTAGATAAGACTGTTGCAGCTCCTCAATGCAAAGCAGCACTGCGCGCCTCGGGGCGGTTCCACAGGCCAAGACGAGAGGACAACGCGTGGAGGGTCACGAAAGAGGTGTAAAAACAAAGTGCAAGCCAAGCCCTCTATAAAAAAAGAAGCCTTCAACGAACAAATGCAAAAACAAGCTCCCTACAGTTAAAGCCGCGGTTTGTAAGTTTTGGAATCTCGTCCAATCAGGCTGACAAACGGTTGAAAGGGTTAGGAAGAGCGAACACTAAATAATGAAGATTTATACAAAAAGGTAGACGAGGATTGGGAGAAGGAAGAGCAGTGTAGCAAGAACAGTTGGAAGTAAGGCAGGGTGAGTCGTGTTAATGAGACCTGCTGCTTCTTTGCTTCTTCGCCTCGATGTTAGAGTAGCACGACTTACTGTTAGTGGTATCAACATACGAGATAGAGGAGAAGGACGTGAAAAACTCATAAAGAAAAGAGAATAATTTCATGAACAAAAAAGTTCCAAACTTGACTGAAATATGTAAGCGAATATGCTAGCGGCGAAGACGCGTAAGGAGAACCTCGAACCTCCCCGCCTCGACCGGATGATGTGATCGGAGCCAACCAGCTCGACTTCGACCTCCGATGCCCCCGTGTGGGAATGAGAAATAAGAAAGACCCCTAGAAGCAGGAGCAACAGGAAGCAAACGAGACGAAGAGTCAGATTCAACTACGACAGGAACGAAAACGGACGCGAATGTAGCCCTCATTTATCAAATTATTTTTCAAATTCTTCATTAAATCGTTTTACAGTCTACAAAATCCTTCATTCCGTTCTATCCCAGCCTCTCTTTCCCATCCCTCTTTTCCATTTTCTTTTTTTTTTTAGCAGGTTGGGAGACGCTCTCTCTCCTGTCGCTTTGGCTGTGTTGTCGTCTCCGTGGCCAGGGGGGAAAAGCGCCGCCGCCACAAAATCTTGCAAAAGTAATTGTAATTGTGCCTGAAATTTTGCAATTACTGACGCTAGAAAGTAATTAAATTACAATTACAATTCCTTTTAGCCAAAAGTAATTATTACAATTACAAATTACCAGGAAAAGTAATTAAATTACAGTAATTTAATTACTGTAATTGAATTACTACCCAAGTATGGTTTGCCTGAACACCCTAAGGGTGTTAGCCCTGGGAACAAACTGATTTACACCCTTAAAGGGTAACTGCAAAGAAAAAAGTGTATTTTTAAACAGCCTAATTGGGACAAGCATGTCACAAAACAAATTTTCTGCCAAAAACAAAATTTTTTACAGCAATATTTATTGCGCGAGACTCATTTTCGTTTGCGGCTATTTCGTCCGTTTTAAATCGCGCGCCACAAAGCTGGTATTATACGTCACGGAGTTGGCTGCTATACGTCACGGAGTGACGTAATCAGCCACTCCGCGTGCGTCAAAAGAGCGGGAGTTTCAAATGTGGAAAAGTTGTGAATCCGACTAAATTACGTCCTGAGGCGTAAATATTGCTAGAAAAAATTTGTGTTTTCGCGGAAGATTTGTTTTGTGAGATGCTTGTCCTAAATAGGCTGTTAAAAAAAAAACACTTTTTTTTTTCTTTGCAGTTACCGTTTAAGGGTGTACAAACTTTTACTGTGCACTCAGTCTCAGTGACCTCAATTTTTGTCCCAAATCGTTGCTTCTCTACCTGTCATGGCTATCTGTCGACACCTTTCAATGGGATGGAATGCCAGTTCTCCTAAAAACGGTGCAATGTCCATCGCGTCCGCACTTCATCCCAGCCCGTGTTTCGCCCGGGTAGCATAACAAAAAAGAGGTGAGCTTTTGTCCGGGTCTGAAAAAACGGGTGAGCTTTTGTCCGGTGAGCTTTTGTTCGGTTACCGAAGTAACCACCACCGACAAAACAAAACGGTCAAGCCAAAGCGACCACGGTAAAAGAAAGAAAAAAAGAACGAGTCCAACGAACGTTTACGTAGGACGTTACCGTTGAAAAAGAACTGCCGCTTGTACGAAACCGTCCAAAACCCGGTATCTTTCGGTTTTAACAGTTTGTTTAGTTTCGGCACTGGCGGATGTTTATCGGTGTTTTTCGGTTGAAACCGGAAAGTATGCGGCCTAGGCATAACGCATAAGGCGCGCTCCGGTCGGAAGCCAGGCGGCTCCCGACGTCGCACACGCGGCCATAAAGCGCGAAACACATGTACGACGAAACCGTCCGATCCGACGTGCGGACTGCCGGAATGACCTTGGGGGGAGAGGGTTTTCGTAGCATCGGCGAGCGTTGAAAACCCTCGCCTCCGACCGTCGTATTGCGCGGTCGGACGTCGGATCGGACGGTTTCGTCGTACATGTGTTTCGCGCTTAAGGCCGGATCAGGTAAAGGGAGCCAGGTTCTATCACCGTGGCCAGGGGCTCCCACAAGATGGGAGCCATGGAGAATGCGATCATCTCGATGCCGAAGCGAAGTAGTAGAATATGTACTGAGTTGGCATTCTGGTATCGCGAGCCGCGACCCGATCGAATGCGAGTTGTTTTGTAACAGACAAGCTTGGCAAGTTCACTTTTTATGCGCGTTTAGGCAGCCTCGAAAGCGCGCGAATGCTCTCGCCGACGAGGAGAGATGAGAAGACGCTTTGTGACGGGAATTGTTGATGGTGACTACGTCACGAGCGGATGAAGAACACGCGCACTTCGAAACGCGTAGGAACGTGGAAAAACTTTAGCGCGTCAGCGCTGCACGGCTGCACCAGCATGCCACCGTAGCGCACGGATCGGTGGCGCCATCTCTTGATACAAATCGAAAGCAACGCAAACTGAGTTCAATCGTGGAGGATCGGTAGAATCCCAGCCATCAAAACATGTTCCCTCTGTTTCTTTGTCTTGTTGTGTAGCACAATGTAGCACCACACGTTACAAATTGAATGGGAATGCAACCGTGCTTCCCAGATTTGAATGAAATAGGACATTTGAATGCACGTCCGCCCCAACATAAGTTTATTATTACGTCACACGTGATGCCATTAATGTTACATTCTACACTGAGTAACTAATTATCTTAGTAAGCAAGCCTCGAAGTCTGAACATTGATGCAGCGTTCTTCAAAATCTAGCGCGGTTCAGGCAGTTCTCAGGAACATTGTACTAAAGACACTCAACTGAAGTCACTTGCCTCCTCGATATGGCGAAATAAACGTTGATTAATAAATGACTTTAACTTGATCACGTCTGATTACTGGAATTTACATTCTCTCTCTCTCTTTCTTGCTGTCTCTCTTTTCTCTTTCCAACAAAAACAAAGTAGCCCAAAGCACGAAAAAGAAAAGCGCCAGGCAAAACAAACCCGGCTCTGCCAAACCAGAATAGAGCAGACGACAAGGGAAGCTCCCAGAACTTTATATATCGAGCAGACCAATGGGCGCTCTCCTACATTTACGTCACGGCGATAATCGCGGCGTACATAAGGCGGAACGCGCGCTCGCAGCCGCAATCATTTCGCAGCTGACACAAACAACGCGATTTTCAAATTGTGACATCGACTGTCAAACGAAGCAAACTACACAACCATGGCATCTCGAACGAACAGGAGTGCGCCGGCCATCGGCATCGACTTGGGTACCACGCACTCCTGCGTCGGTGTGTTCCAGCACGGTCGAGTCGAAATCATCGCCAACGAGCAGGGCAACCGAACGACGCCAAGTTACGTCGCCTTCACCGACACCGAGCGACTCACCGGAGACGCAGCGATGGCCCAGACTGCGCGGAACACGGAGAAGACAGTGTTCGATGTCAAAAGGCTCATTGGACGAAAGTTCGGTGATCCTAAGATCCAGGATGATCTCAAGCACTGGCCCTTCAAGGTGGAGAACGACGCTGGCAAGCCCAAGATCAGCGTGGAGCTCAAGGGAGAGCGGAAGAGGTTCCACCCGGAGGAGATCACTGCCATGGTGCTGGCCAAGATGAAGGAAACTGCGGAGGCCTTCCTTGGTCGGAAGGTCAGCGACGCTGTGGTCACGGTGCCTGCTTGCTTCAACAATTCTCAGAGGCAGGCTACGAAAGACGCCGGAGTTATCGCTGGTCTCAATGTGCTCCGGATCATCAACGAGCCCACCGCAGCTGCACTGGCCTACGGACTCGACAAGAACCTCAAGGGAGAGAAGAACGTCCTCATCTTCGATCTGGGGGGAGGAACTTTCGATGTGTCTGTGCTGACCATCGACGAAGGCTCCATGTTCGAAGTCCGATCAACCGCTGGAGACACACATTTGGGAGGTGAAGACTTCGACAACCGGCTTGTCACCTACTTCTGCGAAGAGTTCAAGCTTAAACACCGCAAGGACCTCAGATGCAACGCCCGTGCACTGCGGAGACTTAGGACAGCCTGCGAGCGAGCCAAGAGGACTCTTTCTAGCTCTTCCGAGGCAATCATCGACATCGAGGCTTTGTTTGAAGGCGTGGACTTCCACAGCAAGATCACCAGGGCCCGGTTCGAAGAGCTGTGCATGGATCTGTTCCGAAGCACCCTGGAGCCTGTGGAACGTGCTCTGCGGGACGCCAAGTTGGACAAATCGGAGATCCACGACGTAGTCCTCGTTGGTGGCTCGACGCGGATCCCCAAGGTGCAGAAGTTGCTGAGAGACTACTTCAACGGCAAGGAGCTTTCGATGGGCATCAACCCGGACGAAGCAGTGGCCTATGGCGCCGCCGTGCAGGCTGCGATTGTAAGCAGAGATGCCAGTGAGGTCATCCAAAACGTGCTCCTCCTGGACGTGGCTACCTTGTCACTGGGCATCGAGACCGCTGGAGGCGTCATGAGAAACATCGTGAATCGCAACTCCCGAATTCCTTGCGAGACGTCGCAGACGTTTGCAACGTCCGCGGACAACCAGCCGACCGTCACGATTCAGGTGTTCGAGGGTGAACGCGCCATGACCAAGGACAACCACCTGCTGGGAACCTTCAACCTGAGCGGCATCCCTCCTGCGCCACGGGGTGTGCCCAAGATCGAAGTGACATTCGACGTGAACGCCAACGGCATTTTACACGTCTCGGCCAAGGACGAAAGTACGGGTCGGCAATTCGGCATCAGCAACGACAAGGGCCGTCTGTCCAAGGAGGACATTGACCGTATGCAGGCCTATCTGGAGATGTTCAAGCGCGTGGACGAACTCCGGAGGGAAAGGGTGACCGCCCGGAACGGACTGGAGTCTTATGTGTACGGCGTCAAGCAGGCTGCAGAGGAGGCGGGAGACAGACTCTCTCCTTCGGACAAGCAGAGTGTCCTGGACAAGTGCAAGGACACCATATCCTGGATCGACTCCAACACTCTGGCCAAGAAGGAAGAGTGCGAGCACAGGCTGAAGGAGCTGCAGCAGCACTGTTCACCCATCATGAGCAAGCTGCACCAGGGCACGAAGCGGAGTGCGCCCAGTCATGGAGGATCACGATTGAACAAGTTTCAAAGGGTATGAAGCGCCGAAAAAACACGGACCAAGACACGGAGAAAACGACACAAGGTGCACTCTCAACTGAAGTTTATTCGAAAAAATACACGCTATTATTGTCAACGGGAACGCTCAGTCATCAATCAATCCCTGCCCAGCTGACGTTTCAGATACTAATACTCATCCGTAGATAGGGCCAAAGACGTTTCGCTGACGCACTTGTTTCCCCTAGCCCTAATGTCCAAAGCCTCGTCTAGTTCGCGTGACATGTTGTCTTTGTATTTTGCCAAAAGTTTTGTGCTGTTGTATGACGGGGTGCCAACTGGGCCCGTCTAAACCCATCTAAACACATTATTGAAGAAGTCGCCTGAACGCTGTGTGTCTTGAAGGTGTCTTGAAATGAATGAGTGTCGTCTTCTGTACATATTTATTTTTGTGCATTTATATTTTTAAATTGAACTTTTGAAATCTCTGAAATCAGTTTTTTGCATATCTGCACTGTGGGCTGCTGAGTATATCCCATGCTGGGAATCCTAGTCTTGCTCTTATTTATGTAAAAGCTACAAGTATCTACATTTGTAGTTTATAGAAACGTAGCAATGACTTCTATGTTTTATGTAGCTCCGCCAGAATTATCTGTCTCGAAGATGAGGGATCGGCGAATAATTTTATCTCAACAAATGCATTTGATGATGGCATTTTTTATTTATTTAAAGGGCACTGCGACTCAAATTGCCAATAGCAGGTGTAGGAGCATAAAAAAAAAACAGTTTGTTTTATTAAATCGTATAAAACAAAACATCATGGCTCAGTTTGAATAGTTTTAATGCTATGGGGGTATAATTGATTCAGCAACCGGTAGTTGAAAATTTTGATATATCTCACTGTTTGTAATAAACATTTTACCTACAAAACAATATAGATGCCTAATTTTATTTATCTTCGCTCTTGACTCCAATGACAGAACAGTAACTTTTAGAAACAAACTTGATAGTGGTTAGTGAAACCTGAAATCAATGCATATAAATCGTACAGCGAGATTTTTTTTTCCCACTATCCTGTTTATTAATTCATGCGGCTGTAAGCGGATACCATGCATCATTCGCGTATACCAGGGTAGACCTTATCAGAGTCGCAAGTAACACGCGCAGTCGGCCCGACCCCGGGACTTCCTGGCATCTGAAAGGAAAAGTTGGGCCGAGGAGGATGAGCGACCGCCGATCGCTTCCCGATAAAATTAGAGGGCGAGGGAGCGTAAGAAAGGACAGGCTCCGGTGCTGCCGAACACAAGAGCCGGAAACGACTAAAGCACTGGATACTCTGCTCTACCCAAGTACCGCCATTGACTTATCGTGCCGCGCGCATTCCTATTGGCCACAGCCGACGCGCCGCCATTTCTGGTTCAGAAAACAGTGCAGCAGACGACGCGCTCCGCTCTGGCTCAAGGCTGGCTTCGGGGCGCTTCGGGCTGAGCGTCGTCTCCAAGGAAAATAGAGTTGAACAGAGCTACTACAAAGCGCTGTATTTTATTCAGTACTCTACTCAAATGCAAAAAAACTTGTTTACTTACACACCCTTTGGATTGTTTATGACATTCTGATCGACAGTGATTCCACTTACATCACTTGGCGCACTTTTGTGGCGCGCTTCTTCGGCACATATTCGTGAAGTCGCGAAGCCGAGCTGCTGCGCTATAGCGTCTATGACTCCGTATCGGCGTGGCAAGGCTCTCTTTTTGATTCCCGTCGGGGCAAGGAACAAAAGACGACGGAAGGAATGGCTCCGCAAGATAAGCAGCGTTGGATTTGCGCCGACGCCAAACTTAAGGCTTTGCGAAGTGAGTATGATTACAGTTCAAAGCGGGTTCACTTGACGTTGCGGTGTTGAGTTGTTCCGAGATCGGCACCGCGTACTACGATTAGAAAAGTGGCAGCCTCCTAAAAGTAACGTCAATCCACCCAGTTGTAATCACCATCTTAATGCTCTGAATACAAGAAAAATGCCAAATCAAATGACGGGGTAGCCGCGCGCTCAAAATGGTTCCTGGGGACTGACAGGTCCGCGAGGTTTACCGTAATGATTCACCTTATTACCAAGAGCATGCTGTACAAGCCACTCGAATATCTGTGTTTCACTAATGCTAAATAAAAAAAAAAGAAGAAAACTGCTACATTTTGCTTATACTTAACCATTTAAAAAACTCCCCCTTAAATCAATGAATCATGAATGAAATGTAGACTCATAATATTGCATGCACTGAAAATTATATTTCACAACTTGTTGCTAAATATACTGTCACAAGAATTGCAGTTCTGTGATAATAGGCAATTATTATATCTTTGTAATTGTTTCCTATAAAATTATAAATGCAATATTAAAAAAAAAATCGTGCGTATCAGCTTGCAATGGGGCTGCTAATATTTGTAGAGCCTTGTCATGTCCTGTGCATTTATTTTTCAATTCCCTATATCTAATGTCCCGAGGCTGAATATATATTAATTTTTGCTTACGCTCTTGCTTTGTACCAATGATTGTCTTTGTAGGACCACTTCACGAGTGACCAGTTCGAGCAGCACAGAGCCGACGGCTTGAGGAAACTCGAACCGGATGCTTCTCCATCGCTGTTTGCTCACCGGGCCATGAAGCCTAGCAGCAAGCCACGAACTCAGAGGCTGGGCAAGTGTTCCATTACACTTTTATATTGTAACTTATATGATTATGCTATGTAAAAACATTAATTACTGAGGCTTGCACTAGAAACCAAGTCCAGCAGTCTGGAGGGTATAGATTGCGGCCGAGTTTGTTATTACACCGCAGTTCAGTGCATGTGTAGGGAAGCTTCGGGCTGCCCCGAGGGACTACTCACTGGTGCAATCTTCATTCCTGCCCGGTCCGATTTGGATGAGCATTCTACAGGAGTATGGTCATGTCACTATTGCCTGATCCAGATTAAAGACACCAGGCTTGCAGCCGCACTGCACCGGCTAAATTTTTTCATCTACAGTGTGGACCACTGTCGTTGTAAAAGTGCAAACCGACCTCATGGTCTCAACACGCGTCTATTTTACTTTGGTTGTACAGTGGCCGGCCAATTCTACAGCTGATCCATCCCCTCCTTTGGTGACAAACGTGGCCCCTCACGCCAGCACCAAAGAGCCCAGCCAGATGTCTGGAAATCCCAACGTTGAGCCTACCCCTTTCCTAAAACAATATTTAGTTTTAACTTCTATGCACTCCGTGCGACGCGACTGGCGCGCCGCCGCGCGGCCGGTACCGAAGGTAGGCAGTGAGAACACTAGAGAAAACGAAACCGAAACAACGCCGCGTACGTTGGTACGCGTTGAAGTCGGAGCGGTGCGGTTGCGCTGGGTTCACAGCATGAAGTGCTTGCTGCCTGTGATAGTTATGCGTCGTATCTCGTGGGGACAAAGTTTCACAGTTTTTCACCTCGCCGGTGTTTTGTGGGACAGCGACAACGATGGACCCGTGCCGTACGACGCGAGAAATTTGGTCTCCCGATCATATCTGCCACTGTGTCGGCACGGCTGACATATTCTACACTGCCGCTCTGCGCTCTGCGTTTGTTTTCGTACCTGTAACGCCTACATGTGTTCGCGCCGATAAGACGAACTGAAATGCCATCCCTCACTCGCGGGTATGCAGTGCCAATTTCGTTGGAGGAATGCCCTCCAAAGAAGTTTCGTCCCTATCGTACGTGTCGACGATATTTCCAGACAAGTATGGCACGCAGTCTGGACTTCACGAAGAAAGATTCGAACGGTAAAAAAGTGACAAATATGAATCTAGAGAAAACAACTATGAAACTCGGAATCACTGCAGATTCGGCGTTTGAGTATGGAAGTTTATGTGATGTGCTTTCTTTCTTGATCAGCCTCCTTTTGGATGTGGAAACGCTGACACCCCGAGTTCTGAAGACATTTTTTTTTCTCTCGGCTTTAGAACCACCTATCGCAAAGTGGTTCGAACTGGAATTACCGTCCACTGGTCCCTTCCTACCTAAAAAGTGTGCACCTCCCACGATGGGTGGTCTTATCTTCACAGCCATTGACAGTCAAAACCAGTTCCCATTTAGTTACGCCGCCCAAACTAAATTTCCACCTGGTTTCGCTATGCCAACTCCTTTTGGTATAATAAGTGTTGTGTCAAGTCACGGTCATGTCAAAGTACCTGTGCACCGAAAATCAGCACCTTGCACAACAGGTTATTACACAACAGCTGATCGCAAAAGCCCTTGACAGCCAAACCGTGTGTTGGCCGACAACTTTGTTTTCTCGGCTTTGGAACCACCTTTCGTAAAGTTGTTTCAATTGGAAGTACAGTCCATTAGTCCCTTCCTACCTTTAAAGTCTCCACCTCCCACGACCAGTGGTATTCTCTTGACAGCCCTTTCATGGTCAAAACCGGTTCCCATTGAGTTACGCCACCCAAACCACATTTGCCCCTGGTTTCCCTAGGCCACCTCTTTTTGGTATAATAAGTGCTGTGTCATGTTACTGTCAAGTCCAAGCACCTGTGTGCCCAAATCTGCACTTTTCACAGCCCGCTATAACACAACATTTTGGGTCCAATATTGGATATCCCGTACAGCTTTATTTCTTTATTGGTTAGAAACATAACTTTCACACCTGCTGTCTTAATGAAACTTGGCAAACTTCATGCACAAACTTAGTAAACATCTCACTCGCCTCCAAATATCAATGTTCCAGCAGTCCTATGTTTACAGAGACGAACGAAATAAATTTCCCACTCAGAGCAATTATGGTGGCGGCCGTCTTGCTTTTCGGAAAATTGCTCCCTCCTTTTTCGGCCGCAACTACAAAAATTACCCCTAATAACGACTCCAACTCGATATATAAGAAGTGGAGAACAGCTAAATGCCCTTTTCCCCAGCACTCATGCAACGTGACCCTCAACGTATCGGCTCAAAAAGCAAAAGTTTCATCCGTGCGCGCTTCCGCCGCCAAAGCTTGGCATGGGAAAAGGTAGGGTGCCTCCATGTCTGTCTGCCTCAGAGTGAAGACATCTATTGTTTCCCTGAATGTGCCAGCGCGTGACGCTCTCGCGCACTCGGTGCGTGACTTGGGCGGTAAAATGGCGTCTGCATTAGCCATAGCTACGCGCTCGAGCTAAGTGACACCGGATTGCGCGCTCTTTAAAATGCATTAAAAAAAAAAAACGATTGGGCGGAAAAATGGCTGAGATGTCACCACTCAAGCAAAAGCGCGCGTGTGTATGAAGGCACTCTAGGAAAAAGCGCCGCCGGCTGCTGAACGCGCCTCACTGTTGAACGCCAGCTCCTCCGCTAGCGGCGCTGCGCGCGTTTTTCAAATCGCCCCCTATAGTTCCCGCACGGAACGTATATATATATGTACCTGCTGATCGCCACTTGTGCAGGTCAATCAGTCTCATGTCACAGTGCTGTAACAGTACAAAGCAGAAGGGGAGAAATTGGAACAAGTATTGCAATAGGTCCCCACGTGGCAATGTGTCTCTCACTTTGTGCCTACCCATGTACACAACGATGTTGACTGTGTACATAGTGAGTATGTGCATGAGCTTTTTAAAAGGGCCCTTGAACAAAACAAACAGGCCAGACACGCCTTATGCCATGTGCTAGTTGGCTATTGCGCAGCACATTGTACTACACTTAAAACACTAATGAGATTAAAGAAGATAGACAGGACATAGTGTACGCCTTGTCCTGCCCACCTTTTGTTTAATCTTGTTTGTGTTTTGGGTGGACTGCAATATGATAAGCAGTAACCAACTAGCCACATGGGTTCCTTTCATTGTCCTCTCTGCTTGAAATAGCTTACAATATGCCTCTGCTTCAAGGATGCGGTCGTTGCCTGCTGATGTTTATGACAAATCAACACAATATAAAACCAGT